TAACAAACAAACCTAATTTAGGTAAGATGTACATCATTTCTTTTTAACTCTTTCTTTACTTCCTTTAATGTCGCTGAACGCTTGCTGTACATTAAAATTTGATTATTTTACGAAAAATTCGATAAGTTGTATAATACAAAAAAATAATATCGATGTTGCGCTCGACTTACGGAAAATCGTCACGTAACGAAAGGATTAACGCGAAAAATCAATCGTGGTCGCTATTAAAATTATCTAGAAATATTTTTATAAATAGAACATGTCTTAAGTTTCTCTTCAACTAAAATGCAACCCTCTACCGCGTACGCGCACTGCGCCACGACCTTTAATGGGCGCAGCCTCCCTAGAACCCAATTACTCCCCCAACCTCGAACAGAGACTCTGTCCCTGGTTGACCTCGCTGAACGAACAATCTTTCGACACTTTTGTCGGACACCTAAAAGAAAGTTTCGTAGCAACAATGTAACATCGCGCGTTGTCGTGGCGGGACACGATCGAAAGTTGTTTCACGAAGTCGGGGAAAAAACGTAATAAACTTGCTTGATGCATGTTTACTTCCGAAGTGTTTTTCATTCGTGAAGAAGGTTTCGTGTCTTCGAACGGTCTTTAAATGCTTCCCTGTCGTCCACCGAGCTTATTCCGCGGACGAGTGTACGATGTGCCGTAAATGGTACACGAAGAAAGTTAACAGACTGTGAAAAACTTCGGAACAGTTTTAATTAAGTAAATAGGCCTCGAATTCTGTCCACTTGAGACCGATCTTGAAAGTATATTGTACATCTATGATGATCATGTATACAGTCGCGGACGATCACATGGGCGATACCGAAATCGCACAGGTACCTTCCAGCTTTACTATGAATTTATTGCGTGGATACTGTTAACATCTCATTGTAAGATCAGTTAATTTGTTATTATGAATGATATTCTGAGAAAATCTTCTGGGCTTAAGAGTATCTTTGATTACCATTTAGAATACTGTGACATTGCATAATTGTTTGAATTCTCAACATTTCATTTATCTGTTTAAATAAATAACTGAACTAATACATTTCTGTGTTATTATTGCTTACAGGTGATAGCATTTATATGTGGGGTAATAGTGATATTGTTGATGATAATGGGTTTGGCTTCCACTGATTGGTTGATGGCATTAGGATGGAGACAGGGTTTATTTGCGCACTGCATCGAAGAAGGTGCACCTACACCGTTGCCATTTAATATGCCAGATCCAGCTGGGTGTTATCAGTCCAGAGATGCACGTACGGAGAACTTTCATAACTAATTATGACCTTAAGATAAGAAAATTGCTGCAATTATTACTATATGAAGTATAAAATGTTTCACTAATATTTTATACTTTTTATAAGATAAAAGTAGGGATGATGCTAAAATTGTATCACTATCATATTAGTATTTTTATATCTTAATTCTACTATAATTATTTAAATGCAAATGATAATGTTGGTGTAATACTAATATTTTATATTTTCGTCTATGTTTCATAAGTCTTCATTTGTACTTTCTTTGCAGCATATATAAAAGCAGCTGCTGCCTTGTGCGTAGTATGCTTGTTGTCAGACATCGCTGCAACAATTCTCACTGGGCTTGGTTTAAGGTCACAAGATAATCGTGATAAACATAAATATTACAGATTTGCAGTCTTCTGCATGGGCTTTGCATGTAAGTGTAATACGTAAATTAATAATTGCACTTATTTTGTGATATATCTACGTAATTACAACCTTTGATTTCAGTGTTATCACTCTTAATAGCTTTGGTGATATATCCAGTATGTTTTGCAGCAGAATTAAATCTCGGTGAGTCAGTAATTCATGATATTAGAGAATTGCTATTCGTTTTTACATACTAAAATAATAATTTGTAAATCCCTAGGAAACCGAACAATGTGGGAGTTTGGTTGGGCATATGGAGTTGGATGGGGTGCCGCTATATTCTTATTTGGTGGAGCCGTGTTGTTATTATGCGATAAGGAAAGCGAGGAGATTTATTACAAAGAAAGAAAGATTGTGCGCGATGATATCGGTGGTGGCGGTTCTATGATTGGTATGGGACATCATGGTGGACAAAGTGGGACGCAATTGGCCTAGTGGCATTGCTCCCTGCCCGACGTTGTTCTCTAGGTGATTAATTTCTTCTCTTTCTGTCCTCACATTTTTGATACATTCATCAAGGGACGTACACACACGTAAAGAGTGAATGGTTTTTATATGTAGTCTACTTGTTACACCAGCATATATTGGACTTAATTATTACTTCGATATAGGATGTACAAAAACATTCGATCGAATCCGTCAATCGGATGCTTGACGACAAAAGTATTTGCGACTTGACTGAGACTTTGATTAAGTTCGTTCATTTGTTACCAGTTTTTCATTCTCTCATATCGACAATTTCGGGACCATTGCTATTTTTGGTTTACCACGATATTGTGTTTTATGCGAATTACACAGCCACAACTATTTTTTTATAGTATTTACATTGTTTTTTTAAATTTACTAATCGATTTTTGATACCATTGCCAATGGTAGCATTCACTGTACATTTCTTATCTAAAGGATCAATTGATGACGAAGCCGCGTTTACTGTTACTATCTAATTCCGGACCTAATGACAAGTAATGTTTTTACCCGAACTTTTGAGTTTGTGCTAATGTTTCAAACTCCTCTGTGCCTGCATTGATAGATCACTATTGTCTCTGGTTAGCTTCAAAAGAAAAAGATGGTTTCTGCTGCTTCAGAACAAGGTTTATGATATATGAGTACTTAACAAATTTGATGTCTCATTATGCTCGAAAATATAAACAAAAATATTAACAGTAAGCAGCCAAAAGATCATGCAAAAGGAATTAATAAGATTATAGGGAAAACACTGCCGTTTATTAGTAAACTATAGATTATTGATTCTTATGATTGTTTTTTGCATAAAACGTGCAGCTTTGATTTATTATTATTTATTATGTATTAGTATACTTTCTATATGTAGTATGTACATATATACACATATCTATATATATATATCTATATTAGATGTTAGTAATTTATTGTTCGCTTTCATTTATTATTATTTTTCCTACTATAATTGAAAGTGATATTTGATTTAATCGAGTGATTTGCGATCTTGTAGCGACCAGTATGTTTAGTATAATATTCTGATGTAACATTAACATAATGTTCATAACTTCTACTTCCATATATTCTGCAATGAATTTGGGCCAAAAATTGCTCTAAGTGTATTACATCTTGTGATTACATATACGCACAGAAGTATATGAATGAAACTATGAAATTCGAGTAAAACCAATCTTCAGTGTCGACTTAACGAAAGCATTTTAAAAGATCATATGCTTGGGCACACTTCGTCGATTAGTATAAATAAGATTCTTTTTACTGACAATTAATATATTTTTAAAAGTAAAAAGTTGCGGTATGATTATGAATTAATCAGCGAGTCACTAATTATTTAGTTATATCTGGTTTAATCTTTCCATATTTTGTATACGTTATCCTACAGTCTTCCTTTTTTGCTAATGGAAATACGAATATTTGTTTATATATGAAACATGCAATTGCTACCTCCAAGAAATGTGGATTTCTTAAACAATTGTTTTCCGTGTTGAAAATACACAAAGAAAAAAGTGGATGCATGAAAGCGAAGGAAAAAAATATTTTCCTGTAATTCTTCCAAACTGATGAAACATAATTTTTAAAGCTGGTTTCTTTAGAAGATTAACTTCAGTTATCATCTCTTATTACTTTACATCATAAAATTAAGAATTTTATAATCTTTATTTGTATAAAGTATTTGTTTCATCTATTTCTATAGTATCTTTTTTACCGGACAGTATAAACGACCGAAATTCCGAAAAGCATTTAACGAAACAAAAGAGCATTTCGAAAAGCAATAGTGCAAATTAAAATATGTACAAGGCTGGTATGAATTTTCACAATGGTCTGTAAAGATTGTCAGTACTTCCAGAATATCTTTTTCGTTCTACAGAAGGAAAAGGGTTAATACGTGTCATATCGACAGTAATTTTATCAAATTATTGACACTTTAAAAAAACATGTATGCAATGTGAGAGCTGACATATGTACGCGTTATGAAGTTTCCAATGATATTTTCAGTACCACCGACATGCAGAAATGGTGATACTGAAAGTTCATTGAATGTAACTGAACAAAGATACAATTTCTAGTAGTATCATACATTTCATAGTGACTCTTGTTCAGTGGTCATTCCTTCTTCCTTTCTTCTTATTCAATCATTCAAATCGAACAATGATTTATAATTTCTACCTATTATCTGTAGGGAGAAGTTTAACTTCCCTAAAAGTAAAATACATTTTATGTTGAACACAAGCACTATATATTTAAGTGTGCGATGGAATAGAGGCAGCTCGGGCAGGTATTATCTATTATGTTATCTGCATTACATACGTGTACGTATATGTATATATAGGTATTTTATAAATACATGTAATAGAATGATACACTTGCAGTTACTGCGATACTCTAAAGAAAAAAAATGGAGTTTTAATGGGAACGAAATTCATACATGCACTTCGTATAACGCGGCAGATCAATCATGCTTTCTGAGAGGGGGGGAAAAAGAACTGTATAAGATTAAGAGTTACAGTGCGTTTGATTCTTTGCCGTACACTGTCGATTTGCGCCTTTCGATTTTGATATGTGCTATTAATGACATAGAGTACTACGTAAGACTAAGTGTAACCGAGTATTGAAATGTGTTGAAAGCAGAACAAGTGAATCGTTGATACATTAATTAAGATGTTTACAATATACGAAAGAGTATTATACATCAACAAAGAGAGAATTTAAGTGATTGTAAATTGAGTACAATAGTAATTGCATTCTACTTGTCACTGGTAGTATTTGTTAAAAAACAACTATATGAGGCTGGAATTAGAATTTTGGTATGTTAAGTGATAGTTTGAAAATGCAAATTGCTCCGTGCAATGAAAACCAGATTAGAATTTGAATTTTATGGGCGGGTAGTATACAACTTGCAACTGCCATGCATTAGAATTGCAGTGTAGATAACAATCCATCGTTTTCTACTGTATTATCACAGAATAATATACAGATAATTTAGACAGCCATAAGATGATTGTGTAATTAAGTGATGATAGATATATTGTAGAATTAATAGAGCACCATTCCAGAGTAAAAAATATCACAGTTATTTGTTACGTGTACACATTCGCAAATAAAAAGTAGATTCTCTGTTGTGTACCTATAGAACAAATGTTTTAATAAAATAATTACACAAATTTAGTAAGAACCGTACAATACTGAATAGAAATATATTTTATTTTATCTTAATTTGCCTGCCATGTTAAAGAAATGGTATTACTGTAATAATAATAATAACACGACAGAGACGATCGTGTGATTGTGTCAGAGAATTGTTTTTACAATGGTTACTTCCTAATTTCTACATGATAATAAGACATTACTCTGAAACGTTAATAGAAAACAGTTGATTATTTACCATACAAATGTTTGCAAACTAGAAAGTCTATTATCGTACGTAATAGATTCGCGTACAGCACACAAGGTAGATGAAAATAATTTAGTCGATATTTACGAACATTTCATATTGTACACAGTGTGTCCCGAGTTATCTGAGAATAGTCAGACAAATCATAAAAACTAGGAACAGTTCTACAAGGAACACTTCTACAAGGATCACACTTGATCGATATGCATACATAACAAAATTCAAAAATATTGAATTGAAACTTTGAAATCGTTCCTATCATTGTACCTATCTAAAAGCGATACAGCTTGTATAATACTTCCCAACAAATCAAAGATATTGGAGAAATTCTTGCGCATTTTTTTGAATTTTTCGTGAAATGTTCAGCTGCTCATAGATAACTGAGACACATTATAGAAAACATATCGTACTTATCCATGCATATCGTAGTAGATGTCCCAGAAGGTGTAGAACAAAGAAATTGTAAATTCGTTTTCCTCATCGAAAATGTTATGAAACGATACCAAGTAAAATTATACGAGAAAATTATTTATGCGTCATATTACAATGTAAACATATCTTAATACTGTACAAAGAATAAACTATATACATCTGAAAATTGAATACGTATTTATTTGCATATTGTTTAAACAATAAAATACAACAGGATGCATAGAATATTTCAAAATTTGAACGAAGGTGGTTCACCAAGGTTTTCGTAATGTAATATTTTTTATCGCATATAGGGTGAAATAGAGAGAATTAAATAAGACGTCGTTGATTTTTAAATAATTATTAATATTCAGCAATATAGAGCGATACAAAGAGTGAAAAATTAACGTACTGAAGAGGGCCTGCGAACGCTAAACGCAACAAAATTTTCTCAGACTCGTATATAAACAATGACACAACGCTACGACGACGATTTTAAGTAATAAATACATGTGTGTGCACGTGTGCTCAAATGGTGTGTGCGTGTACGTACATGCAACAAAGTATTGCTGAATAATTATCTCTCGTGTGTGTTTCTATCATCCGTATAAATACAAAATAAGATTACATATGTATATTTATATATATGTATCTATATATATAAGCTTAACAAAAAGAAAAAAAGTAGTGTACAAAATAGAAATCTATTTCCAGAATTCATTATGATATAAAAATTAATTTTCATCGGAAAAATATATACATGTACACGCAGACTCTCGTTCGTCCATGCCGATTGTGGAAAACTTAACAAGCACATTTGCGACAAAACTACGATATACTTCTCTCACTGGGTAACTGACATAAATTTTTATCTCCCGTATTTTCAATCCACTTCTCATCATCACTCGTTCTATCACAAAACTGGAGAACTGACAATATGTGACGTGATCATCGGTCGATACACCGTTTTGCCTATTTGCCAATTCTTCACTCCCGCAGAGAAACTATTTATCGCGTTTGGCAGTAAAATATATGTATCAAAAATGTTCAACTTGCTAACGCTTATAAAAGATATAAAATATCTTACGCACCATCGAGAAATGCTATTAAATACTAAACGATTTGCATCATCATCTGATTGATAAAGAGATATTTTTTTCCTCATTGTAAACAATCCAAACTAAACATCCTACCTAATTGCATCGTTTTTGTTTTCATTTAAATGAACTTGCTAATTCTCTCTCTCTCTCTCTCTCTCTCTCTCTCTCTCCTCTCTTTTGCCCTATCTTCGTGTATATATAAGGTTTTTAAATTTTTTCCTTTTTTAATACAAATACAAGAAAAAAAATTAAAAAAAAGAACGCTTGATACTGTCAGAGACTCTCCGTGCGCTAGTCAAGGTTACCCTCGTTAAACGAATAAATCACAGGCACTGCTCTGTGTTGTTTATTTTCTCCTCGTTACGAAAAAGGAGCCACTTACATTTTCGTAACAAGATTCGGAACGAAAACGTGAAACGCTTAAAAAGAAGTCAATTGTCTTCCTTCTCGATGCGAAACGTCCTGCGTATAAACTGTAAGACAACGTTTCACTAATTACGTGTCCTACAAACTTATGTAAGCTCTATGTTGTTTGTTTGTTTGTTTGTTTGTGTTTGTGTTTGTGTGTGTGTGTGTGTGTGTGTGTGTGTGTGTTTGTTTGTACGTGTTTGCTTGTGTGTTTGTTTGTACGTGTTTGCTTGTGTCGCCACATGTACGTCACCGAGCAAATAAAACTCGGAACATTGAACTTTAAGTCAGTGGTATTCCATATGTGTTTAAATTTGTTATATTTCTGTCAAGAATTCTACTAAACAACAAGGCATAAAGAGGCTCCAATGCTATTGTTTCATGGAACACCATTGCCTCAAGCTATTTTAACATGTAATTTCAAAAGTAACAGTATTTATTATAATGCATATTCAAGAACCGATTCTTCATCGAATATCGCGTACACTCGTACACACGGCGAGGACTTAAAGTTATACAAACGGATTCTGGGAAAATTATACACTTTTATCTTACAAGGCAAAATCACCAAATCCGAAAATCCTGATCTACATGAAACTTTGTGTGTGTACATGGAGCATAGTAGACTGTGGACCATTGTGCAAAAGAGAATTTCTTTGGCATAATGTCATAGCATCAACGCGTAGATGTAATAATAAAAATATGCAGAGAATAATTATTCCGTAAAAAAGAGCAGTTCGATAATCGAATATTTTTTAACGTAATTATCTAACCGACTCAAAATAGAACAGAACATTAAATATATTCAAACTTTTATTTATTACTAGAAAAAACAAAAGAAATGCAAAAGTGTAGAGGTCATTTTATTCTCCTAAGGAGTTTTTATTGAGTCAACTGAACGAAATTGTTTCTCGTACACTTCATTTACGTACGTACCGTACATATAGAAAGTTTCATTAAATCTTATGTTTTTGAATTAGATAACTTCTCTTGTTAGTAATAGTATTTAAATATAATTCAACTCGCGAAAATATTTGAATACTACTGTTAATAGTAACAATGTAATATTTTTCACTTTCACGCATATTGTTTTGTACAAATATTTTCAACATTTACCAACCTTTCAGTTCATTCGATTCGAGCTGGTTACGTACTCCACGCTAATCTTTGTTCTAATTTTTTTCTATTCTAAAGTTGCACGATGATAATCGTGTCGGAGGCACGATTAAATAACGTATACGAGCGTACACAGTAAAAGCAGTCTACAACAAAATATATGATCTCCTCAGCATGATGAAAGCGTACCTTATAAAATACAAAAAATGTTTTACTTTTTTCTTTTTTTTTTTTAAAGAGAGCTATGCGAGAACTAGATCTTTACACTGTCATGATAAGGACACACGTTCGTGTCTCGGTATAATAACTTCATTGTAGTTCCGAAATAATTCTCAGTGAACACCTGACTTAAAATCGCGCTACGCAATCAACGAATTCCTATCGAGTATCCTTATTACTTAAAGAGATACACATCAGTTCAACAATATTATTTGGTCCTAATTGCCGGTAAAAAACATTACCGTTACCGACATTGAGAGTAGCATGTCTATACGTACTGACGCAGGCGTGACGGTTGTCCTAGCATAACTGAGTATCATAACTTCATCTCCCACAGCACAATGTGGGCATCGTTACTGTTTGGATCTTTGAACGTGTAACCAGATTTAGAGCTCTTGTCGGCAACAGACTGAGCGTTCAGTTGCCTCCAATTAATGTAACCTCTGCCGCCCATCAGCGTCAGGACCGTCCGTTTAGGTTGTTCTATTTGTTGCAGAGTTTTGTTTATCTTTTTCGCATTAGGCTTCAAATTGTTGGACGCCGGCAGGGTCTCTGCAACTGACTGCCCAATGCTACTGTTCGGAGTTGGTGTTTCGTACGGTCCGTTTCGACTAGCGGTGCTACTGTTGCGAGACAATTTCCCAGTTTTCAAGGAGATATTTTCCTCGGAACCGGAAGATGTGTACAGAGAACTGGCGTGCGAGTCCACGGACCAATTTGACAAGTCCAAGGACCTGGGCCTGGTAATTTTCATCTTCAGTCTACGGTCTAAGGTATTAACTTTATTTGGTATGGCTGCTAGCTCTGGATCGCTCCTCCTTAAGGACTCGTAAATTGGATCGATGCCAGAGCTGTTCTCGTTCTCGTAATCCTTAACGTACATAAGTTCCCCGTATAGACCGTAAACGTCGCAGTTCTCGCCCGAACTCTGCGATCCGGACATCGAACTGGACAAGAATCCACCACCGGAACCGAGCCCTCTTGGAAGTGTCTTTGAACCTCTGTACTCGTATTCCTTGCTCCGTTTCCGTCTCAACATTACCGGGCTGCTCGCTAGTTGTTGCTTGAGCTTCACTATGCTATTCGACATGGACGAATCTAAGCTTGCCCTGTCTCGGCTACTTCTGCTGCTATCAGTTTCCTTATTCCGTAATTGTACGGTCTCCTCGTCTGTGATCTCATCGCTTGCGCAGTTCAGGGTATTCTTATGATTCTGAATAGCTAGCAAGAAGGTGATGGGGCCGAAGTGCGCGTGGTAAGAGATATTCACACGGCCACTGATAATGGGTACTCCTTCCAAACGAGGAAGAGGAATCGTTAGGCTGATGCCTACGTTTGTGCCAACCCAGAGGAGACCCTTGCAAGCTAGCAGTGCCGTTACCGTAACCGTGGTCTGGTTATTGTTCAGATTATCGCCGCAGGAATTCGAGGTATTATTCGACCTGGTCACCCTTAGGACGTTGGACGCTATGTTGATGTCTTGGAGGTGTTTAAACGTTTCGGTGTGGTATAAACATACGGTGCTAGAGTTCTTCAAAGCGACCCAAAGGCCTACACCAGAGTGAGCCATCAACTTCACGTTGCCAACGTGTTCGTGCTGAGCACTGAAGCTTTTCGTGATATCGCCGGTGACCCCGTTTAGCACCCACACCTTTTTGCCACAAGCGGCGTAAACGGACGCGTTGATCGGCATCAAACAAGACACGGGTTCGCTGCCCAATGATATCACGTGCGGCTCTTTGAGGTTCCAGGTACCATCTATTTGTCTCCTGAACAGCAGCAGCAAGCCAATGCCCAGCGCGACGAAAACGTTGTCGCAGTGATACTTGATCTGTATCACTGGTCCCGACACGGCATAGTTACCGAGTTCCTCTTGTTTTTCTGGTTCCGAGGCAGCGTAGATGATAATCTTGCGGGAATCCGTGCCCATCCATACCAGGTCGTTCGACAGTGACAATGGTTCGGAGGAGACACCTTTTACGAATTCTACGGCAGCTACTCTGGTTTCTATCAAGTCGAACGATGTTATTTGCTTCAGGGATGTGGCGGAAGCTGTTGTAGATTGACCGAATATAGTCACGTGGCTGGATATACCATCCCCTGTACAGATCCATAAGTAACTTTGACTTCTACCACGGCGCCTGGTGGGTCGTGGATTTTGGGTGGTGTAGTAACAACCGCAACGTACCTGAAAATATAGAACAAAAATATAGAACATTTCTACATCGTTTAATTGATTTAATTAATATCCAATATCTTACCTCTGTCTGATGTTGCGAGTGGTACACTTGTTGCGAACTAACGAACAATGGCATCTTGGTCGATGGTCTTTGTTCTTGTTCAGGTACTTCCCAAGAAGGAGAATTATTTGGATCTAAAGCTAACTGTGCCAGCCTAAGCTCGGTTATCCAGTCTTTCTTCACTAGAGGATTTTCTGTTTGAAATGTGTACATTTGTCCTTGCTTAGTTACCAGCTGCAAGCAACAACTATCTGCCCATACCATGTCCTCGTCTTTCTGTTGTATCGATAGTTGTATAGATTGGAGAATTTGTTTGGTCTTCTCTAACGTCATTCCCTGTAAACGAGACGCATAGAATAGAGTACACGTTACACATGAAATTTTAATACTTTGAAACGTACAGCAAAGCAAGCAAGTTAAAAAAAAAGAACAATTTGCGTATACATATTTTTCGTACCTCGTATTTACCCTTCAGTTGTGCAACTAAATCACTTATCCTGGACATCACTTCGTAATCGTGCATAAGGTCATTCATTTCTACACAGAGATTGTCCGCACCTGCCTGTCCGCATTCTCCACTTTTGTCAGATTTCAGGCTGCCGCCTTTGTTCAGACCAGCAGTTAATAATCGACTCAACGTAGGCGAAGTACTCGTGTCCTGAATCTAAAATATTTGAAATCAATATTATTTTGATTTAAGAAACTATAATTTATTTCTTTGTGGACGTCAAATTTTATTTGCATATAATAAAAAGATATAATAAAATATATTCGATTAAAAAAAAATCATTTAACGTACCTCAATGTCTGACACAGGATACGTCCACTTCAAAGTGAGTCTTTCGCTTCCGCTGAAGTCCTCCGCGGATCGCGGCGTCACGGAAACGCACACCACAAGGTCGTTCAACAACAGCAACCTTCGTCTTTTTGATTTTGTGATCATGCCATTTTGATTGAATTCCTGTAAAAATGTACGATAAAAATTGTCTCGCATACAGAGGTTCTGTTTCAATTTCGTACAAATCTGTGCATACCAACTGTGTGACGTTGTCTTCCCTTATGAGATATCTAGAAGAAGATGAAAGAGGACGATGAGACAGTTTTCCGGATACATGTCGCAGCATTTCTTTGAAAGCCTGGAACTGTTCCGCCTCGCGTTTCCTCTCATTCAACATCTCTGCCAGACTTTCTAGTTGGGTCAACGCTAACTGCAACGACATTCTATCGTGGTGTCCTTGCGGCGTGTGTTTCAATAAGTCCTAGACAAATTTGATATCATTCTAATGCGATCGTCGAGGAGGAAAACTAAACACTAACTAGCCGTGATGCTTACTTGTAGGAATAATATGAACTGCGGAAACCTCTGAACGGGTTTAACCATGAGCCCAAAAAAGGACAGTCTATCGTGTGCACTTATTTGTTTCACCTGTAACAGAAAATTAATTTGAATATCAGAGACATGGTAATACAAATGTCTGTGATATATTCGAGACTGCCTCATCAATTATTTTTTCATTAAAAATTAGCTTGAAAGTGGTTAGAAGTAAGATATAGCTATATATATATATATATATATATATATATATATATATATATATATATATATATATATATATATATATATATATATATATATATATATATATATATATATATATATATATATATATATATATATATATATATATATATATATATATATATATATATATATATATATATATATATATATATATATATATATATATATATATATATATATATATATATATATATATATATATATATATATATATATATATATATATATATATATATATATATATATATATATATATATATATATATATATATATATATATATATATATATATATATATATATATATATATATATATATATATATATATATATATATATATATATATATATATATATATATATATATATATATATATATATATATATATATATATATATATATATATATATATATATATATATATATATATATATATATATATTCTATATATAAGATTATATATATATATATAATTAGAATATAATTAGAATATATATATTCTAACCACTTTCAAGTTAATTTTTATATATTTATTTTTTATATTTATATAATTTGAAATATATAATTTTTTATATATATAGCATTAAACAGATACTAAATAGCGGCAATAACCAGGCGTCATCTCACACCTGCTGGTAATGGTTCATGTGTTTACCTTGAAGAAATCGGCAAGCGCAGTTTTTCGTTTCGACTCCTGTTTAGCTAAATCCATGGCTACCGAGAAATTGTTTATGAAGCCACTGTAAATATCTAGCACGATCGCTTTGCTGAAGCTGGCCACGAATACGTCACCCAGCTTCTCATCTTTGTCCCATGAACGAACGCATTCAGCGAGCGCAATTCTGAACAACGTGTGGCACTGCAGAATTTCGGGCAATCTATGAAACAACGTTGCTATTTTCCCTTGGCTCAATATAGGCGGCGAGGATTCCTCCAAAGGTTTCTTGTAATCCTGAAACAGGGAAATAATGTAATCTTTAATCGAACGAGAAAAACTAAAAAGGTACTTTACATTCTCTATATATGTACATGTATTCTCTATAATAGGATCAGCTTGATACGTACGTTCACTAGCCTCTGCAACGTGGACACGTAACCGTTCTCCGAGTGCACTATGGCTGCTACTATGTGCCGGCGTTTCAGCTGCTGCGGAGTTAAATTAGGAGGTGTCGGCGGAAGAGCCGGCGGTGTTTGACGACGTTGTTGCATGCATTGAAATTGCACCATTGCGCTGTTCTCTTCTTCGACCTGGAAGCGACTTATATTAGTATAATATCATCAGTGTTTGTGAATGGTTGTGATCACATTTTTTTTATTTCACTTTCTAAACAAAGGAGACTTTTGCATTACTTGTGGAATAATACTAAGTAGCAGATATTAGACTACGTTAGGTTAAATAATTTTAAGATTTAGAAATACAGTCACCACTACTGAGAATTTTTCTAAAAATAAAAAAACAACTACATGAATTTCTTACAAGTTATGGTGACTGAAAACTTCACAATGAGTCTCAGATATTCACAAATTAAAAAATAGTTTAAGAAATGCTTTTCATTTTCTGTGTGTCTAGAGACAAGGATATATTTTTGTAATCACTACTATTTAATTTGCTAAATTAAGAAAGGAGATGATGAGGTCAGTGAGACTGGAGAAAATTCGTGTCTCTCTGAAGATTTTCTAGCGATAATTATTCCTTATCGTTTGCGACAATTTGAACGGGAAAGGTTTCGAACAATGGCCAAAGCAACTACCTCGCAGAGCTGAGGCATCTGAGGCGTCTTGATCGGACTCGTGAGAGAAACCGTGTCTGACGAGTCGACGTCGTACTGTTGCGTCGAACCTCGACGGATGCTGAACCATCTCGAGAGTCTTCCGTGGTTCCCAGGCGAGTCTAATGGGTCAGCGTTGTTCACTCGCATATTCTGCGACCTCCACTTGTCGCACAGTGTCCTTGCCTTGTGCAACGTGCTCCTTAACTGGCAGTTACTTCTGCAACGAATTGGTCGTTACATTAATTGCAAAGTACAGAGACGGAGCCACAGGGCTGCCAGGTGAACCGAAACAATCGACAAATTCTTGCCGGAGCAACGAAACAACGTACGAGAATGTATTTTGATCAGCTCTTTCTAATCATTGGATCGATGCAAAAGCAACACTAGAACTATTTCAAATTCAACAAGTACTTGTTCGCAGAATAATTAACAAGGATTTCCGTTGACGTTTTACGTCAATCGGATATTTGCCTAACGATCAAACAGCGGATGTTTATGCACTTGTAGAATGTTTGAGTATGCAAAACGCGGCAAAGTATAATTCACGATCAAGTCCTTCGCAATTCACAGACTATTTTCAGTATACGGACATTTTTTAAATAGTATGTATACTATATATATATATATAAGTATACAAAAATGTCTCGCAATCTGGAAATAGCGGGTTCCTCAGATCATTTGAAGCAACTTCTTCCTTTACAAAAATGTTCTCCGAGGCGCCGTTAACGAGTTATTAACGAAAAACAGTGACCAATAAGAATCGAGTACGGCTGACGCGAGGCGGTCCAGCCAACCAGCGTATGAAGCCCAGGTCCGCTCATTGGCTCGGTCGCCTCGCGCCAGCTGAGCTCGCCTCTCATTGGTCACTGTTTTTCGTTAATAACTCGTTAATGGTGCCTCGGAGAAAATTTTTGTAAAGGAAAAAGTTGCTTCAAATGACCTGAGGAACCCACCACTTTCGGATTGCGAGACATTTTTGGGACACCCTGTATGTAAGTGTATATAATACTGTAGTATAGTATTTTTCAAATTTATGTAAAATACATATATCTCTGCTTGATGTCGATCCTTGGATAACTATTTTCAGGGAATAGAAATTCCGTACGTATTCACATTGTGCACACGTTACGTTCGACATTTTTGATATTCGCTTTAATGCCTATGTCAATATCGCAAGGCAGGAGAGATAAAGCAGTTCCAGTTGCAGGAAATCGATTCTGTGTGAACATGCCATTCTTCTTCAAAAGATAAGCAAATATCTATTTAAATCGAACGTTTCCATGTTCTTGGAAACGTCGACATTAAATTCCAAGAACTTTCCATCCAGGTTTATCTAATTTACTTTGTATTCCTGTAAAATGCATTTTAAGGTAAAAACACCTTTTTTTCACAGTGGATACTGTTAGATACAAAAAATATACTGAAATTTGACGATGCAAAAAAATACCGTGTAAAGACTCAGGTGCATTGAAGATGAGTTTTGCTGAATTATCAAATTGTAAGTTCGTCACACGATCTTAAGAATCTAAGATTTTTATCTAGGTATTTTTACTAATCTGATTTCTTAAAATTTGTTTTTTTTTTAATGAAAATTTGACGGTGCAAAAAAATACCATGTAAAGACTCAGGTGCATTGAAGATGAGTTTTGCTGAATTATCAAATTGTAAACAGGTTCGTCACACGATCTTAAGAATCTAAGATTTTTAGCTAGGTATTTTTACTAATCTGACTTCTTAAAATTTCTTTTTCTTTTTCTTTTACAAACCTGATGTTTCCATGAATGAACCCGATGATCTAGTTTCTTTATAAATCTCTTTCTTTCACTTATCTGTAGATTTTCATAAAAATGTCGAGGTCGCTAAGCTTCCAGCGTGAAATTCGGTCGTTGATCGTTCGGTCAAAGAAGAAATCGTTTGTTCCGGCCCACCCTGGCGCAGTGAAAATGGAACAACGCTTACTTAATACTGATATTACTCTTCTCGCTCTCGTCGTCTGAAGAGAGGTCATGATCTGAGGCGGAGCACCACGAGTCCTCGCTTCTGGCCGACTGTGTCGACGTGTTGGACCTAGTCGCCTTCAAGGTAGGGTGGTGCTGTCTGTGCGTTTGCCCGACAGTTTCCATTTTCGTCGGTCCTACGTCATCCCATGATCTGCACCTTGAACGTGGTTCATCTGAAATCAACCGACATTCAACGTTTTGAGGTGTAATTTCGACATCGAACGATTAGCCTAATCGCGCTACAAGAGTACCAAGAGATATCGCATGTGCGCGCGCGCCTCCTCGCCTTTAAACTCTCAGAGTTGTTTTCATCCCTTCGATATGGCCTAGCGCGTGTAGGTGTTACTAGTGGATCAGGACTTTTTTAAATAATTAAATTATTTGTTTCCGACTTCAGCAACTGGATGCAATGTAAAAGATGAAAGAGCCGTAAAAAAAACCTAGATTAACATTTACGTTTACCTAACCGGTTAAAATGATTGGCGCCAGATTATTTTAAAAATATTCTTCTTCTGAACCGGTACAAATAATTACGTTTAATTAATAATTAATAATTAATTTAAGGATGGGTGGTGTCAAGTAAAATATTAAAGACATAACTATTAAAATGTTGAACTACTGAAATGCTGAATTATTAAAATGTTTAACTACTGAAATGCTGTATTATTAAAATGTTTAACTACTGAAATGCTGAATTATTAAAATGCTTAACTGTTACAATGCTTAACTATTAAAATGCTTAAGTATTAAAACACTTAACTATTAAATTGCGTAACTATTAAGATACTTAACTATTAAAATACTTAAATATTTACTGAACTACCTAAGCAACGTTCAAAACAGAATTATCAGAACCAAAACGTTCGAGATTAAGTATTAAATTAAGTATTAAAATACTTAACTATTAAATTCCTTAAGTATTAAAATACTTAACTATTAAATTCCTTAAGTATTAAAATACTTAACTAATAAATTACTTAACTATTAAATTACTTAAATATTTACTGAACTACCTAAGCAACGTTCAAAACAGAATTATCAGAACCAAAACGTCCAAGATTAAAGAGTCGAGCAGCAGTTTAATCAAAAGGATTGCCACACGTATTCTGCAAAATATTGTTGCACAATTTCTTAGGAACAATGATTTCCGATCTGGAGTGAACTAGTACAGGTTTTGCAAGAACAACGTTCGCTAAACGATCCTCGAGATCGTGACAACTCATTACCATACGCCTTAATGTAACTATATTTTCGTTAAACGAGTGACGACAGGCTCTATTTATACAACTTATGTGTGTCTGTGTGCGTGTGTATGTGTCATTCGTTACAATCGATTCGATCCTCCTTTTATCTCCCGAGGTAACAATTTCAGAGGTCCATGCTCGCCAAAAAGAAACGAGAAATCTGGACGTCTTCTCTGCGCGCGAATTTCCTCGAAGTCCGATCAACGGCAATAAATGCGCGACGATGAAAAATGCGCGTCTTCGAAATCGTTTTCGCAATGCTCGAAGCTTGTGCGTTCATCATCGTATAAACGATTTCGCAACGTGACGTGATTTTTCTTGCTCGCTAATCCATCCAGCTAGCTTCTGGATCGCGGACCTTCGAGCGAATTTTCGCAGATTATTCCGTCGAATTCGGACCGAGGAAAAAATGCGATTGATTATCTTGATTAAAATTATCTTGATCTTTCAAAGTTGAATTAACATTTATTTACAACGTTTTTATTCACGGAATAATCGTGCCATTAGATTTATTTACGAATGAAGCAGAAATCTCAAAAATCGATCTCGATTTTTATGAATCGAGTCATGAAAATTTATACATTAATTTATACGTTAATTTGTGCATTAATAATCCGTTTATCATAATTCCTTGTGAATATTATAGTTTAGCAATCTATTTATCCAATAAACCATGGATCAATTCTAAATATTTCACCTGTTGGTGCCAAATTAAACAAAGGGTTATTCCGTCGATCAATAAAATTATAATAATAATAATGATTATTGTTATTATTATTATTATTATCGTTATTACTATTATTGTTGGTATTATTATTATTGTTATTATTATTACTATTATTGTAAGTATCATTATTATTGTTATTATTATTACTATTATTGTTAGTATCATTATTATTGTTATTATTATTACTACTATTGTTAGTATCATTATTGTTATTATTATTACTATTATTGTTATTATTATTATAATTAGTATTATTATTATTGTTATTATTATCATTGTTATCATTATTATTATATCTTGTTTCCGAGATTTTTACATTTCCCCTATTGCGAATCGCGTGCTAATCTTTATCGCCGATAATAAAAATGTTCAGTTCGAGGCGAAATAAAACATTAAAATTGTAAAATACGCAGCAACTCGCGTAATGCTTGCTATCATGCTCATGATAGTGCACGACGATCTTTCCCAACCGCCCAATGGACAACGTTGAACAGGCTGTGGGGGACAGTCATTGGCGTTGGTCGCGTTAAAGAAAATCATAATGTCGCTAATAAACACGTTTAGAAACAATACAGACGGAGATAAGAGCGATGATGTTCCGGGTGAGTCACGTCACGCGAGCTGAATTCCGTGTTGGCAAACTGTTCCATTAAAAGTGGTCGAAATCTCGCGCGGAAAATTTAGAGACCTGTTCCTCGAGAAGTAGCCTATGCAACGCGGATAATTTTAGGATCAAGACATTGTAATTTATTACTTCCCACGTTCCCGGATTTTGGAGTCGAACGCGAAGGTCGTCCATAGATCACGCGGACGCTTATGAAAATTCACGATTTCTTATGATCGATCGATCTTTCGGCCTAGACGAGATTTTTGTTTGTTTAATCTTCATAAGATTTCTATCGTAACAATATATGCTTGGATTTCTTACGAAAACATTTTTATATTTTCAGCAAATGTAAATGTATTTTAACGTCGAAGATTATTATAAATATATATATTAGTTTACGATCATCTCGAATTTCATTGATCAATCTTGCTCGGTATATTGTTGATTAATTTTTTATTTAGTATTAAACGAAGTTGAATATAATATATTATTTTATATATTATATTATATATATTAATTTAATATTGATAATATTATAATATTATATATATAATAATATTATATTATTAATATAATATTATATAAAAATATATTATTTTATATATTATTAATATTATTATATAATAATATATTATTTTATATATTATTAATATTATTATATATTATTTTTTATAAGAATATTTTATTTAAATATTCTGTATTAATGGACATTTTCTAAACACGTTGGTTTTTCTATAGACCTTAACGAACCGTGTGAAAATTTCAATTAATCGTCACGAACCGTATAGCGAGATATAACGGTACTTATTACTCTGGGTCCAAATAGACCCGACTCCCGCAGTCCGAGCGTCGAACAGGTCTATCGAGCTCGTAAGAAAATTTACATAGCGGTGAATTCTCTCAATCGATCGTCTTTTAAGATTGAATCTCAGCCAGTTATACGGATTAGGTGCGGCCTATACTTATCACGGCAAAATTTTGCATCGTACCACAGTGTCGCCGTTAGAATAAAAGCAACACGTAAGTTTGACCTATAATGATTTTATCAACCCTCACAGCTGGCCTTGCTAACCCTTATCATTCCTCTCGGTCAATTGTTCGTTAAATGTTGTGGCTTTTCTGCCGCGCGATTGCAAGCTCTGTTTCGAACGAATCAGATTTCCATATCTCTGACACCGTTGTTAGCATTGCATAATACTATTTTTAAGCCGTTCGTGTCCTCAATTTTTTTTTTAAACGATCGTCTTTACGCGCGAGGAGTCTGTGAAGCAAGAAGAAACTTCGCGTTTATGACAGCCTTGGCAGAAAAAGCATTCGCGATTGTGTCTGTGGGAAGAATTCGTGCATATATTAAAAATTGAATAACAATATTGTGCGATCGTCGAAAAATAAAATGCAAGAGATGTTCGTATTTCAAGAAAATATCCATGGAATTATTATTATTACTATTATTATTATTATTGGTGGTAAAATAGTAACAATATACTAGTAGTAAAATAATAGTAATAATATACTGGTAGTAAAATATAATAACTTATTGTTATTATTATTATTGGTGGTAAAATAGTAACAATATAGTAATATTGTATATAGTGATATAATTATATATAATGTAATAATATACTCGTAGTAAAATATAATAACTTATTATTATTATTATTATTGGTGGTAAAATAGTAACAATATAGTAATATTGTATATAGTGATATAATTATATATAATGTAATAATATACTCGTAGTAAAATATAATAACTTATTATTATTATTATTATTGGTGGTAAAATAGTAACAATATAGTAATATTGTATATAGTGATATAATTATATATAATGTAATAATATACTCGTAGTAAAATATAATAACTTATTATTATTATTATTATTGGTGGTAAAATAGTAACAATATAGTAATATTGTATATAGTGATATAATTATATATAATGTAATAATATACTCGTAGTAAAATATAATAACTTATTATTATTATTATTATTGGTGGTAAAATAGTAACAATATAGTAATATTGTATATAGTGATATAATTATATATAATGTAATAATATACTCGTAGTAAAATATAATAACTTATTATTATTATTATTATTGGTGGTAAAATAGTAACAATATAGTAATATTGTATATAGTGATATAATTATATATAATGTAATAATATACTCGTAGTAAAATATAATAACTTATTATTATTATTATTATTGGTGGTAAAATAGTAACAATATAGTAATATTGTATATAGTGATATAATTATATATAATGTAATAATATACTCGTAGTAAAATATAATAACTTATTATTATTATTATTATTGGTGGTAAAATAGTAACAATATAGTAATATTGTATATAGTGATATAATTATATATAATGTAATAATATACTCGTAGTAAAATATAATAACTTATTATTATTATTATTATT